TCTGCCTCCTGAGTGATGGGATTACCAGAGGGCACCTGGATAACATTCTTTTCTCAGGGTCAAAGGTCTTCATCATCACTAGCCAGGTGTCTCTGAGATTTTGAGAACAGCCCCAGGTCTGGTCCATTGTGCTGCTTGTTCAAGCACGTATCTCCTCTTCACCACACGTGGAGATACAGCCAGTGGCTCCATATTATCTCTGAGTGGCAAGAAAACCCAGACATGGTCTTCCGGGTGAAGAGGGCATTCTTGGGAACAGCAGCGTCATAAGTGCCCCTAGGTCCTTCATCCACAGAAGACACCGGGATATCTGTTTTCACAGTGGTGTGAGAACACACAGCCAGGAGAAACCATGCTGAATGCTCGTCTTCCCTTACCTAGCAGCAGGCAGTTGGGTCTCCTCTCGTTGCGCTGGGCAACATGGCTGGCAGCAGGTCCCCAGCAGCCCCACAACCTCAAAGGAAGATATTTATTCTCCAGGGGGCAGCAAGCCACTGGCTGGGATGTCCAGATTAGAAGTATGAAGGCCAAAATCATGTCTCAGCTTCATACATCAATAAGGACGTTTCTTCTTCCACAGCGAAGGACTCGGGCCTTCCAAAGGCTCAACGACGCATCAACCAGCAGAACAAGAAATGCAAGCTGATGGGAATCCATGCTTGTCAGCCACTTCAAACCACACCCTTGCCATCTCCTGCCTCCTGACACCCCCAAAGGAGGAACACGCCTGAGAGATCCACCTGAGCCCCACTTCACGCCAAACTGCCCCAAGCTGTATTCCTTCTGTCTGCCCTGAGGCTTGGTATCTTGATTTAATAATGAATAAGAGAATGGGGATCCAATCTCTTTCTGGGACTGACTCAAAACTGTATTGTTTCAAAAATGGGAACTGCAGAATTGGAAGCCAGGCTTGCCTCGGGGGCCCCACTCTTTGAGGGTGAGGGCATGGAGGGGACTCGACTGCCCTCCGGACACTTCCTGGACCCACAGCACACAGCCCAGAGAACATCTGCGATGAACAAGCACACCCTTATGCTGAGGTGCCCTTGTGCTGGGCCCTCATGCTGAGGTGCAAAAGGAACTTTAACAGGAGACAGGGATGTTGGTTGGAGAGGAAAGGTTTTCTGAGTCATTGTAAGCTCACCCTTTGGGGCTGAGCCTCTGGGCAGGATGGCATCTTGAACCCTACACCAGGAAGAGGAGCAGCGACGCTGGTGACAGAGGAGCATGACCCTGGGTCTCTGAGAAGCCCTCAGCCTGGTCATGTGTACCACCCAACCTTTGCCCAGAGGATAAGAGACAGAAGAGCCCCTAATCACTGATGCAGGACCTCGCTAAGTTGTCTTTTGGAGCCAGCCTTCTCTCTCCCCCCAGGCACTGGGAAGTAGTGACCCTAAGCCATTCTGTAGTCCCTGTGTTCTATAGTCACAGGGACTATAGAACAATAGGATTCTAGGGGCTGAAAGGTTTTCTAGGTCAGATGAGCTGGCTTGCTAAGGCCACCTGACCTGGATCCGTATAGGAGACAAGCATTTGGAAGATACTGGGCAATACTCAGAGGGCCCTCATGGATGCTACACCACTAGACAGGACCATGAAACAAGAGTCTGTGCCACGAGTGTGTGCATGTACTTGCAATGGCAAAGTGGAGGAACCCTGACTAATGGAATTGGCTTGAAGCTGGTGAGCACGAAGTTTTCTTCAGCCATGTAGAATAAGACTTTGAACTAGAAATTTTGAAAATAAAAGCCACATTTATTTTTACCCCAAACATGTGGACTTACTATTTATTCCTATTTGGTTCACTTGCTTTCAGAGGGTCAATTAAAGCATTTTTCAAATACAAATTCCCAGTGTCACTAAGGAGAAAGAAAAACATTCTCCTAAAAATAGAGCAGAGAGAATTAAAATAGAATTTGCTATGTCTACACCACGTGGGGAAGGCCCGTCGGCTCCGAATCGGTAGCGGATAGCTCCCATGTGGGTGACTTCCAGGTTTGTATGGCCAGCACCCTCACCCCACAAATCTCCACTAAGCTCCTAAACCCATTGCTGAATTCAGTGTGAGCAGGGAGGGCAAGGCTGTCCCAGGTCACAGAGACTGACCCCGCCCCCGAGCCTCCGTACAAGAACGCAGCAGGGACTTGGTGAATTAAGCAGATGTACAGCCAGCTGTGGCGGCCCATGTTTATAATCCAGGTCCTAGGGTTGCTGAGGTAGGAGGACTGCCATGAGTTCAAGGCCAACTGAGCTAAAACATAGTAAGACCCTGTCTTAAAACAAAAACCGAAAAGAAACAAAGAGGAAGAGGCACCATGATAAAGATAAGCATCTTTATCATGGTTGTCATCATCATCATCATCAGCAGCAGCAGCAGCAGCAGCAGCAGCATGGCTCACTGGCTCATTGGCTCATCCCTATACATCCCAGCTACTCAAAGTCTAAGGCCTGCCTGGCTAAAGAGCCCACTGCCAGGCTAATCAACTCATCAAGCTTTTCTTTCAAACCCAGAGAAACCCAGAGAGTTGGCACTGTGGCTCACTGGTGGAACAACTGCCTAGTATTGCAAAGCCCTGGGTGTAATCAACAAAGGAAATGAGCAGAGCCTTACAGCAGGCAGCACACATGTGGATATCCACATAACCTCAGAAGGCTGAGGCAGGAGGATCACAGGTTCAAGTTGGAAGCCAGTCTGGGGCCCGTTAGACCCTGTTTCAAAGACAAAAAGAAGGGAAAAAGAGGAGCGATGAGCAGAAAGGGAAGAAGAGGAAAAGAGGAGTAAACAGAGGAGGTGAGAAAAGAAGAAAGTGGAGGGGGAGGGGGAGAAGAAGGGCAGAGGGAAGTAGAGGAAAAAGGTAATGAGGGAAAGAAAGCAACATGCCCAAAGGCAGCTTGATTCTTTGTAAATTGAGCTTGGGTATCACTGACTTGCCCACAGCATACTGAATGAAGAGATAGTTGTAGCTGTCTGCTGTGAGGCAGGGGAACTGGGCAGGGCAGGAAGGCTTCTAGCAAGCAAACTGGCTGGGGGAGGGAGTGGGTTTGTGGGAGCCACAGTTTATGGACAAAAGGTATGATGTTCTTTGGAGCAAAACTATTCTTGGGTTCAGGCAGAGCTCTGGCCTGGTTCTGGCTCCCACAGGGCCTCAGCACAAGGACACAGGATGTGAGTTCCTAAGCCCTAGGATGGAGGATAGCCTCCACGGTCTTCTCCCTGACACTCTTCAGGAAGCTCAGCATGGCGGTGCCCCCAGTGCCCCTGTCCTCCAAGGCATGGGGTGAGAAATGGCTCGGCATCCTACGCCTGGCCTTGGCAGCAGCGGAGATGACATATCTGGCCACCACGTTGATGTGGTAACTGCGCAGCTCTGCCAGAGCATCCACACACTGGTTATAGGCCGTCAGGCAGCACCCGTCACCAGAGGCCAGAACGTAGTCCCTCAGTGAAGGAGCCGAGTGGAGGTCCTCCAGGAAGGCCTTATGGGAAGGAGGCATGTAGTCTCTCATTCTGTGCAGAAAACCTACTGAAAGAAACAGCCCAGAGCAATACCTTAGCTCAGGGCGAGCACTCGAGAGTATTTGCCCGCCGTTCCAGACACTCAGGTACCAGAAACGCTTGATAAGTTTCTCGATCAGCCTAGCTGGGCCTTTGTTCTAGCTGTCAAATGCTCAAATGGACATATGTGGATGTTGACAGGAGAGGCAGGCGAGAATAAGAAGCAAGCATCTCTCAGATAATAAGGTTGGACAGGGATCTGCTAGTCAGTACATATCCTGAACCAAACATGAATGATGTGGTGTTCCCTGCTAAGGGCTTCCAGGCGTGCCTGCAAGCCCACACACAAACCCTCACACTGACTGGCAAATTGTTTGCTAGGTACTTCTTGCTGGGGGAGAGGGGTGGAGCCAGGGTAATGGAAGTTACCATGCATATAGAGAAGACATTGGAAAGCAGGTCTTTTAGTAAAAACTGGAGAAGCCAAATTACTATAGATAATCACTACACCTTTAACTGATGTTTTTAGAGGGGGGTATTGTTGTTGTTGGAGGTTTTTTGTAGTTGTTGTTTTATTTTGATTTGTTTTGTTTGTTTGTTTGAGAGTTCATTATTAATATCAAATGCTAAAAACCAGGAAAAACCCTGACTGTTCCAGAGAACAGGTTCATGCAGATGAAACTGGAGAGTCATTTCTTTTTTTTTTTTTTTGATAGTCATTAAGGACATAGCTCTATGTTGCCAGGCAAAGCAATAACAACTATTTCCCTCCTTCCTTCCTTCCTTCCTTCCTTCCTTCCTTCCTTCCTTCCTTCCTTCCTTCCTTCCTTCCTTCCT